AGTCCAGAGTGACTGGCAATTGTCTGAGGTACACAAACACACCAAATAAATCTTAGCACCAACTTAAAGAAGTCGAGTGTAAGGTGAACAACGCTTTTCCACAGCCCTCGTCTCCGAAGACAGACATTTAAATGGTGAAAACTGCCATGTTTCCCCCCCCTCTTTTTTTTTTTTTTTTGGTCATAAATTAGAACCTTAAAATAGACCTTAAAGAGCGAGGCAGCTGCAATGAACCAATACCGTGATTCTAAATTACCTTTCCTGGAGGCTAAAAAATGCTAAATGCGTCAAGAAAGGAAAAAAAAAAGATTGACGTTTCTTATTTATTCACCTTGATGTGAACCATATTTTACGCAAAAAAAAAAAAAAAAAATCCCCAAAGTCTATTTGGGTTTCCTTTTCCTGTCTTACATCGCTCCCACCCTTTTCCCCCTGGCTGAAACGTTCAGCTCCAAATACCGTAGGAGTATCTTTAAACCTCCGGAGCAACGAACACTGTGGGTGGAGGGTCGAGTTCCCAAATCCCAGCCAAGGTACATCTAAAGGATCCTGGTCTTAGGCGGACCGGATCGAGTAGTGGCAACAGCAGGCTTGCCAAACACCGCTTGCCTAGGGCTCGCCCCCGCCTTTTTCTACCTCTGGGCTTGGGTTGCCTTTTCTTCAAAGGACTAAACTTTAGGTCAAATGCAAACGAAACAGCTGAGCGGAAACCACTCCCTTCCGGGCCACCCTGCATCACCGGTTCGAATCCCTGAAGAGAATATCTTTATCCACCCCCATCATTCAAAGCATCTTCCCTCAGGGGTAATAAAAGATAGAGTGAAAAACAAAACCAAAAACTGTGGATTTCAAATATTTTGAGAGCCAAACAACCACAGTTACCCTTAGGGCAAATTCTTAACCCGGAGAAGAGGTGGGGGCGGAATACTGCCCACTCCTCCCCCACCCCCACCCCTGCAAAAGAAAAACCAAATACAATACGGTAGTTAGTGCGGGTGGGAGAAGGGTCGGGGTGACAGGTGAGTAGGCTTAGAACTGGAAATCTTAGCCAACAAAAAGGGAGATTTAAAATGACTGAACAGCGGGTGCTGTCCTTGGTACTGAAAGAGCCGTGCCTTGTTTCGAAACTCGAAATGTGGGAGCTGTGTGCAATTCCAGGCCCTTAATTCCTAATCTTTTCTCCTGAGCCTAAGAAGCTAGATTAAAGTGGGAGATAATTGGAAGTTAAATCAAAGCTCCCAAATCTGTTACTCATTTTCACCTAATGTCAATTCCATGAGTGTAGGTATGACATAAATTGCTAAGTATGAGTTAGCTTTGTGAGAAAATGCCCAGCTCATAGTAAGTGATTAACAAATATTAGTTTAATTAATTACTAGTATTTAATTAAATGTTCATAATTCCAGATATTTCATTTCTTTCCTTCCCCTCCACCACGGAGAAAGCGATGAATGTCCTGGAAGCTGGGCAGACTCAGCTTTAATTTGGGAAACCTAGCCTTGTAGATTTCTTTTTCCACGAGATTGTTTTCTTGATCAAAACGTATGGGATGAACGTTTTGGACAACAGGGTCAGAAGAGGAAGTGTTTGGATATTTCTCGGTCTGATACCACAGGTGAAGGCAAAGGAATCTTCTCTGGGAACTGATTCTTGCGGAAATCACAGAGGGCACAGGGATTTGTTACCTCTTCTCCCAGGTCTCCTTGGTCATTCCTCTAGAATTAAGTCATTGGCACTGGCAGGGGGTTCCCAGTTGATGCAACCATCTCTTTTGAAGAGACTCAAGTAGGGGGCGTGGGTGGAATTCTGAATTCTCATCGGCTAGTACACCGTGCATTTCAACCGTCTGGGAGAAGCTGCGCCCTGTGAATTTTAAAGGGACATTTCCTGAGTGGGGGGAGGGAGATAGACACGCCCACTCCGTTGCAGGCCCGAATTCAAGCAGCTGGAGGAGCACGCCCACCAGTCCAGATGCTCTAGTGTCCTTAAAAAGTGTAGCGGCTTTTATTGTAAGTTGGGGAGAGAGCGACAGCATTTTCTTTAGTATCAAGGGCAACGCGGTTATTTCAAATCTCACAGTATAATCCCTCTCACTGATCAAACTATCTTTTCAGAGAAGGAATTTTCATCTTCCTAGAGAATTCTCGGTGAATTTTAAGATTTCCGTTACCCGCCCCCCCACTATGTTGTGTTAAAAGGTGATAAGACATTCAGAGAAAGGGAACATGCCTCCAGTGAACCAGTAAGGCCTCTGACGTGTCCATAAATAATCCCCGCCTGCTGCTCCGCAAAAGAAAAATGTCACTGTGAAAGGAATAATCACTGGTTACGCTGTGTCACCCACACATACCCACAAAGATCAACTTTGTTTTGCTTCAAAGAAAAAAGAAACTGAGGTAGAAGCGAAAGAACATAAATAAGTGACGAGGGTGAGTGAGGGATGACTTTCAGAGAAAGAGGATAACAACCTGGCCAGTCATTCCAGGTGTTGGAGACTGCACGCAGACTGACTAGCAAAGGACCGCTTGGTCTCCGGGCGCCTTGCGCCCTCTGGCGGAAATTTTTCTGTGGGTGCCTTTCTTTTTCTTTTATTTGCAACAGTTAATTAGAACAAGGCACTTCAGTAAATATGCTTAAATACAGCAAAGGGAGAATCCTTAATAAGTGTTAAGTCAAATGGGATAGTTATGGGAGTGGGCCAAGGCAGGAAGGGGGGGAGGGAGGCGGGCCTTTCCCCAGGCCACCTCTGTGCTTGGATGGAGCTGCACTCGAGCGTGTTATTAACCTTCAAATGTGATCAATCAGGACTTCTTTCCCTATCACCAAGGGGACCAAAGCTAGGTGGGAATGTATAGTGGATAGGAAACCGGAACCTTTTCTCTGCCGATGGAACTGGTTAACTCTGCTCAGGTGATTGCTTTGAAAGACCCCAAGCTAGATAAGAAAACTGAAGTAATGTGGAGATTCCTTCAGGGTCTTAGAGTTCCTCCCTCATATCTGTCTCCTTTTGCTTTTGCAACAATCCTGACTCAGTAGAGCCTTTGAAGACACGACCCAGAGCACACTTTCACTAAAGGAAGGTCGAGTATCTGGTGTAACTGAGGGGAAAGAAATTGAGGCTAAGCCACCGCTCTAGTCTTCCTAAAGATGTGGGAGGAGGAGGGATGGGGAACAGGAGGAAGAAGCGCTCGGCTAAGCAGAATTCTTCTTAGGAATCTCTACCCTCGTTTTACCAGCGGCAAAAAAATATATAAAAAATAAAATAGAGCATGTTGAGTACATTCTGAATTACTCATAGGGCTCCCCCCCCCCCAGGCACAAAACCGTGATCTGGATTTATAATCGCCCTATAAAGCTCCAGAGGCATTCGGGCACCTGCAAGGGAGCCCGGCAGCTCTGCTGACAACTGCCCCCGCGAGCTTAGGCCTCGTGATTCCCCCACGGAGCAGGTCCCCGCCTCCCCCTTTTTCTCCTCCCCCCCCCCCAAGCTGAGCGGCAGCCTCTCCTGATCGCTCTCTTCTCCTTCTGGCGCTCGCCGTGCAGGACGCTGGACCGTGCAGCAGCTGGAGGTGACGCCCGAAAAGACATCGCCTGTGGAGGGGACTGCCGAGCCGATCAGATCGCTGGTCGCTGCACAGAAGAGCAGCTGGCGCGCTGGATTTACTGTTGCGGAGCCGAGGTGGGTAAACGCAAGACCGCCTGGACATCCAGTGCTCAGACTCTGCGGTTCAGCTGGGTCCTTTTCACACCGGCTTCTCTGCCAACCCTCCCGGCACTCGCTCTCCACCCTTCGAGCACTGTGCGTCTCCACCCGCTTCAGTTCTAGTTCTCTGTTGGTGCGCTGCTTAGAGGCGTCTGCCTTAGCACTTATCCTATCCCCACCAGCGAGATTCACGACTAGGGATGCACAACGGCTAAGGCTAGCTAAAGTGAGTTAAACCGGTTTTCCCTATGTTTTCCAGCTGTGAGAGCCAGTCTTACCAAAGAGCTGATGGGCAGCAGCAGCCAAAGGCGCAACTCGGAGCAGTAACCTGTTACTTCCCCGGAAGCTGCGGTGTACCCGCTGCCTGCGTGGCTGTGCGCTCTGGCTGTGGGCTCTTGGGGGGTGATCGAGGCAGGTGACTTAGGGCGCTGTTCTTAGATATATCCAGATTTGCTTTTATCTATCCCGGGGGGCTTTGGGCGCTACTGCACAACGTCAAGCACGAGCAGGGGTGCTGCGCACCCCTTGCTCACTTGCTTTCCAGCGCTGGGCGCAAATCCATTTCCGCGGTGACATTCCTCTTGCCTCCCTCACCCTCTCTAGGTCTTCACGGCTAGGAATCCGAGGTCTTTGGAAATTGAGTGGAGGAGAAACACAGAAATAGGGACATAGACTCCTGTTAAGCGGGATGGGGTAAAACAAGCGAGGTTCTGACCCACTGTTCTCTGGCTGTCTGGAGCACAAGGTGACTGTAGTTCTTCCCGTGCCAAGTCTGAAGACTTAGACCCTTACGGTCCCTCTGTCCCAACCCCGCCCGCCGGCTCACCTCGTCTCACCAAAGTCCCAGGTCCCGGGGTAGTTAGCCTTCTTTCCAGGGAATTGGCTAGACACAACAACAGAAACCAGACACCGAACCAGACGTGCCGCCTGGTGCACCCTCCCTTCCTCCCCGCCCCCAGCCTGCCCGCCGGCTGCCGAGAACCCAATGGGGCTTGTCGTGGCTCGACTGGAAAATCTCACACTGAGACTCCCTTACCCCTCTAGCCCAGACCCCCAGCACCGGCGTTTTCTGCAACAGCCTTAGCCCCCCTAGTCTCAGTGCTACGCTCCAGGTCTGCCAGCTGCGTTGTCAGACTGAAGAGTCGAGCGGGCTACGTTAACTGCGCTCGAGTCCCCCAGCTCTTGCGCACGTCTGCCTCTCCCTTGGCGCACCCTGATTCAGCCCGCTAGCTGCCCTTGCTCCTGTCTTTCTCTCCCTAGTTGGGACTTCAGGAGAGAGTCCGTGCCCAAGGCCGCTCCTCCACCTTTGGCGCGAAGGACCCAGACGCCCTCCCGGCAACAGCTCTCGCATCTCTTTGCAGCCTGTTTCTGCACATAACCGAAGGAAGACCCCTAACACTAACGGCCCCGGGACCATCGAGCTGATGGCGTCTTCGACCCCTTCTTCTTCAGCAACCTCCTCGAATGCGGGAGCAGACCCCAATACCAGTAACCTGCGCCCCACAAGTAGGTCTTGCCCCAATTTCCTATGAAATGGACTGCGGGAGGATTTCATGAAAAGGACTGGGGGGGGGGAGGGACTGTGCTGGGATGTGGAAAGGCTTTGCTGGGGAGAGGGAGCTAGGAGATGATGGGGTTAGAAAGAAATGGGGTTCTGACCCGGGCCTGGGCCAGAGGTCGTTGGATTCCAGAGATGCTAAGCGATTCTGGAGCGCACAGAAAGAGTGGGAACCATGCAATCAGGGCAGCAGTCATTTTTACGGGCTGCTGCAGGGCGGGAGGTACGGGCGTCTAGAGTGTTGTTTTGTTGTGTGTGGTTTCTTTGCTAGGTGGGACAACGGCGGTCAGGGTTACTAGCGATGTGAAGGGCCCGGAGGGCCTGCACAGCGAACAAAAATATAGAGTTTTCTGTCTCCCGCTTTCGTTAAGCCGAGATTTGACTCCCCTCCTCTCCACCCCCTCCCCCCGCCCCCCCACCCCTGTGCTTTGCTTGAAGTCTGTAATCAGCGGAAATTTCAACGTTAATTGCAGCTTTTAGAAAACTCGGGGTCCCTAATTGCTCCAAATTTGCGTCCAGTTATTTAGAAGTCAAGGGCGAGGAAAGGTGCCTGAAACGGTATGAGACTGATTCTCGACATTTCAGACAATTAATTACATGTCAGGACCACCCCCACCCTCCCAAAAAAAAAAAGGGAGAGCGGGCAGCATTCTGAGTGGTGGTGAGAGATGGACAATCAGAAAGGAGCAGGAGATTTGGGAGGGCAGAGGAAAAAGCATCCCTTTCCTTTCTCCCTGGCAGGTGACCTGTGAGCAATTTACATGTCTGGAAGAAAGGGGTACCAGATAAAAGAGGGGGACATTTATACTTCCCTGCCATACATTTATTATACTTCCCCTGCCATTAGCTTAACCCATTTCTAGAACATTTTTAATTCAGGCCAATTTTTAATCTTTCTACAGTCGAAGCCTGGGTGTTGTTGGTGTTTTTCTTTCTTTTTTTTCTTTTTCTAATTTGAATTGAAATATCTCCTTGCCACCACCACCGCCCCCTGCCCCTACTCCCCCAAAATCTTTCAGCTCCCAATGGATGGCCCCAAGATTTCTAAGCTTAGGGGTAGCAGTATGGTTAGGAGGAGGGTTAATTGCTGCATTTTCATGTCACTTTTCTATAAGCTTGCACACAGGGCAGTTGTTCCCAACAACAAAGGTGGGGAGCCTTCTCTCCAACCCTGGGCCAGCCACTGACTCCCTAGCCTGAGTCCTTGTCTTCAGTCCTTAAGCTACTGTTCCATTCCCTTTGCAGTTCCCTCCCCCTTTTCCCTAGGCAAGCTACTGTTACCCGCATAACAAAGAGGGGCTAGGGAAAGCCGCCAGCCTTGGTGGCATGTGAGCGGCCCTGGCAGCCAAGCTGGCCTCAACAGGCCGGGAGGAATGGAGGGCTGCGGCCCTTTGTCTGACACTCTGGCCGTGATGGATTTCTTTTTCAGTCCTCTCTACATTTCCCGCCCCTTTTTTGCTGTTCGATGGGTGGGCAGCTGTTTGTTCACCCATCCTTTCGTCCTGGTCTCTCCTACTCCCCCCACCGCTGAACAGCGGTTTTTGTACTTCGCGGCTGCAGCCGGCGGTGGAGCGCAAGTGCGGTGTGGAGATCCTGTAGCCCCGCTGGCCACAGTTCTCACACAACCTGGCACACTGGGAGTACACGGCCTGGAAGAACGTGCACCAGTCCCAAGAACACTGACGCCTGCCCCCAATAGCCCTGCTGCTCTGTCTGCAACCCTGGCTGCTAGGGACCTTCGGACTGTCTACCAGCTCTCACCCATCTTACAGACACACCCTCCGTCCTCGCCTGCCCACTTGGCTCTGCTTCTCTGTCCTTCCAAGGTCTTAGAGAGGAGGCAGCCTTGCTCAAACCACAGAACAATACTAGGATTCATGCTCCAGCGACCCCTTCTCCTTGCCCTTGGCCACTGCATCCCCTCTGTCCCTTGTTTTCACTGTAACCCCAACTTTCAGAGGAGTGAAATGAGTCTGAACTCAAAGGCCCCCGCTGAGTGACCCTGGAAAACTTGCTTAATCTTTCTGAGCCTCAATATTTTAATTTGTAAAATTGAGTCTTTACTACTACTCTTGTTTCATAGGATCTTTGTGAAGATTAGCTGAAATGATATTTTAAGTGCAAGCACTTAATTGGAAGAAATAGCTCTGTACCCACCAAGTATTATTAGGGTTTTGCTTTAACACGAATTTCCTGTCTGTCACAGGAACTGCATCTGTGACAGGCTGTGTCACTGACGTCGGGCTATTTCTTCTCCCCGCTGTGGCTTCTGTTGTGCCTGAGGTTTAATGGATGTCACTCTCCTTATCGCAGTCAACACTCGTACACTCGTGAGGGAATAATGGCACAGTGGCCCGGGTGATGGGGGGATGGAGGGTAAGGGAGTGATTGGTGGCATCTTGCTTTGAGGGATTCCAAAGGAATTCCATACTGGGTCCACCAAACCAGCTCCATGGTTCCTGAGGCAGTTTTTGTGCTCTGTGGAGGAAACAGAACCCTAAAGGAATAGTTTAAGAACACCCTGGTAAAGAAGGAAATACGGCAGCACCTGGGGTTCATGGATCAGACCCAGATTGAAGGTGCTTGGCACTCCCCATCTTCTTTCTAGAACCAGAACGTCCGAGAAGAAGGGTTAATTAGGGGCAGGTTGGGAAGAAGGGGCTGAGAATCTGGAGTGGGAGGACACTATTGTCTTCCGACTCTGGTCCGACTGAAGCGCAGCCATGCGAGCCAGATCATCCAGTTAAATACTATTTTTCACCCAATTAATTCCTGAACTCTTCCGCGACCCCATTTCATGCCAGTTTATTTTAAGCTGCCATTTGACTGGAGACCCGCCAAGAAATTATGAGACGTTTTGGTCCCAGATGGCTCTGTGTTCTCTTTCAGGGCTGTTGTGGTCGCCCTTCCAGTCTTGGGGGGAGGAGACCAAGGGACAGCGCCAGGCAAGGAACTGGGGGGGGGCACCTGGTTCTTTGTACTGGGGGTCAGCTCTGTCTCATTTCTTGGGTGGAGTGGGGGTCTCTTGGGAGTCTCACAAAGGACTTACTGTCTCAAAGACATCACTCTGTACCTGAAGGTGGGAACAGGAAGGGGATGTGTTGCATGTTTCATGGGCAGAAATCTGCCCGTTGGACCACAGTTCTGGTTCCTTGCGCCTTTCAGGAAAGAGCTTTGAAGAAGGAGCATTGGAGGAGACCTCCCCTTCCAACAAGGAATCATTGCCCTCAACTGAATCCCCCACAGTCGGAAACTCACTGATTGCCCTCCTCTTGCTTTCCAGCTTATGACACCTGGTGCGGCGTGGCTCATGGATGCACCAGAAAACTGGGGCTCAAGATTTGCGGTAAGTGAAACCACTACAGCCCTGCAGCACAGTGTGGCATGCGGGTGGGTTATGCGGGGGTTCGGAAAATTGGTTACTCTTGGAAGACCTGGCTCTTGGGTTTGGTTTTCTAACAAACCTACAGCTCGACGCCAGGCGGAGACACTCTTCTACAGCCTTTGAGGTCCTCGGCCCTCCCCTCCCCAGAGCCCTTTACTACTGAACCCTTCACCACACTGTCTAAAACCTTGGATATTCAGAAGATAGTGCACCCCCTTTCTCTGACCTAGACGGCAACGCTCTTCTTTTACTGGGACCCACTTTGCCTAAGGGTGCCAACACAGAGTAGAAAAGGTAAACTGTTGTGACTTCCTGGAGAGCAGGCCTAAAACACTGAATCTTCTACCTGTGGCGAGGGCTGACACCTTGGCGCCCTGTCCTCAGTACGTTTAAAGTGGCTTTTTTGCTCAGAGATAGCATAATGGGTTCAGATTTAGAAAGGGTTGCCTGTGGCTCTCATTGCCTCCCAGGGAGACAAGCGAGAGCCTCTGGCCCGCTAGCTTGCCCTTGAAGGAGAGCGAAGTGAAACCCGGCAAGCGGGGTCCTGAAGTCCTGGGAATGGGGTGCCAGGCATGATTTACCATAAAGGAAGGGAAATAGATCTGGGAGCTGAAGAGAACTGCTCTCCCAGGATGTGAGAGTCTGAAATGAAAAATCCTGAGAGATGTGATTGTTTTTTTATGGGGGTAAAAAAAAATTTGTTGGGGCACACAGCTGAGTGGCTCCGGCTGAACAATAAGGACGTGTTTTCCTTGCCACGTTTCACGTCTAAAATCTCCAGCTTTATCGGGTTTAGCAGTTTGCCGGCGTCGAGGGCTGCGAGTGGAGAGGCGGGGAAGATTAACGAGGAGCTTATTGACAAGCGGCGGGTCAGCTGCTGAGCTCGGGAGATAGCAGCGGAGGCCGTGCGGGCCAGACCGGTCGGCCTGAACTTGCAGCTCGGACTCAAAGTCGGCGGCAGTTTGGGGCCAAAGCAGAGGGGATATTTAGTAGCTTCTGGCTCTCTTCCCTTCTTTGACACGCGGGGCCCTCCCAAGCTTTTCTGGGGGCTCTGTCTCCTCGATCCGGGAAGCATCACTTACTACGGTGAGGACGCGTTTCTCAACAGCTAGACCTGGGAAAGCCCAGCCCTGTGGCGGGCGGCCGGGGCTTTGGCCCTCTCCCCGGCACGCGAGGCCCGCGGAGCAACACCGGAGCGCGTGCCCGAGCCGGGCAGCCGGCAGCAGCCGAGCTTTGTTCTATAAATAGCCCCCGCCCTGCGCCGCCATTCTCGACTTAATGGCCCGTTTCGCGCCGGGTCCCTTCGGCGGCCGCGGCGCGCGGCGCGCGGCGCTCGGCTGCTGTAGCCGTCATTGTCATGCAACCCGCCTAGCGGAACCGTGAGAGCTTGGCGCCCACGGTGGGCGTGGAGGTGAGGCTTGGGTGAGAGCAGCCATCCTAGACCTCTAGTTTAGGGGTCGAAGGGGGGCACCCTTCATCCACCCCATTCCAGCGTCCCAACCTCATTCCCCGGGCTGTGTCCCCTGCTGCCCGACTGCTGGCTGTTCGAGTCCTCGGGAAGAAAAACATCAAAAGTGCCCCTTCAGGGTACACACGGAAATGTTCCCAACTGGTTAAAGGGCAGGAAGGGGTTGAGTTTAAGGCTCCCGGGGTTATCGTCCACCCATCCTCCACTGCCAGCCAAAGCAGTGAAGAACCAATCTTGAGCATTTGGGGGATTCCTTCCTTGCAGAATTTCGTTTCCGTTTGTATTCCCCTGCCCCACCCCCACACTAATTTTGGGTCAGCTGCAACCTTTATGATAGGAAAGGACTGGTAGTCTGTTGAGGGGAAATTACCTTACACTAAAATGCACTACCTTGGGGGGCACAGTTAGGAGGCTATATCTGGTTTGATTCTGAAAATGAACAAAAAAACTGGAGGATTTATTTCCATGCTTTGGACCATTCTGGCTTTCCATTTAAATCCAGTATACAGAGTGCAATGTTGAGTTTTGACCCTGGATCCACAGTTCTTCGGGCATATATACACGCACCCCCACTCCCTTCACCCCAGACCTTCATGGGCCTGGATTCTTGCCATCTTGACCTGTCAGTATACAGGTTGTCTGACCTTTCACCTTAAGGCAGCAGAGAGACTAATGATCATCTTCCAATGTCCAAAATCATTGTCCTGGGAGACTTCCCTTAAGCACCTTTACTGCCAGGCCAAGGTTAAACCACCCCCTCCACATTCTTACCTCCTACTAGGTAAGCCTGGGAATGAAGCCACAAAGAAGGTCTTGGGTCTTATCAGTGGTACCCTTAGCCCTGGAGGCAGAGTCACCTGTGAGCAGAATCAGAAGAAACCTAGCCAAGAGGTAGCCAGCCTCTTGCTGCAGGAACTGTGGCATTACCCAAATAGAGAAAGTGCTGGAGAAGCCCTAAGTTCAGATCTGGACTCTGCTAACTTCCCAGTGTGTCCTTGGACCTCCATCACTTATCTATGCAAAAATCCCAAACTGGTTGCCAGTTACAGCCCCTGAGTTGTTTTACTTAGCTCACACAGTATATGTGCTTTATTGTGTATGTTTAGTATTGTGTCCATTGCTAACTTGTAAAAATAGAAAAACTTCAAATATTCTATATCTGGCTTAAAAGGGGTGGAGGTACAGATCTGGAAGGGTACTATTCACTTATAAAACTTTCTTAAAAAGCACCTTTCTGTAAGTAGCTGCAATTCTAGGCACATCTTGGTGTGCACGAGCAGAGATTTGGGCTTGAGCTCCACTTGCGTCTTAGCCATGTGCCTGTTGGCCATGGGCAGTTTGCAGCCCCACTTGGAAATAATTGGCTCAGGCTGGGTGTGCTCTGGTTTCCCACTCACCTCCCACTCTTACTGGGCACCCTAGGTCTTTGAGTTTGGGGGTGGTGGTGAGGAGCCAGTAGTAGGATCTCTCCTTTGTGCAGAGGAATAATCAAGACAAGGCTGGCCTTTATTATCCCCCTTGACTCCTGTCACCTATCTTGCCAGAGTGCCACAGCCAGACCAAAGCCAGCTGTGGCTTCAATTCTCCTCTTTTCTCCCCAAAGTGTTTTAAGGTGTTGAGCTTATCAGCTGATCACATGTTTAAGCTAAGTAGTCACAGTGGGTATAGAGTAAGAGGGAGTACAGTCTGCTTCAGCCTCAAGGACCCCTCTCCCAGGACCCCTTGCTCACCTGGGAAGTTGTCAAAGCACTGGCCTCAGTGTCCTTTACCCACAGATGGACAGGAAACTGGGGGTGTATTGTTTCCCTCAGCTCTTCTACTTTCTGGTCTCCTCTTTCACATTCCCAGAGTTCAAAGCTAGGAGTCAGAGGGGTGCAGATCATCTAGTTGCTGCATTGTGACTTCTCCCCTGCTCCCTGAACAGACAGCCAGCTTGAGAAGACATCCTTGCAGAAGTACACAGTTCCTTCAGAGCATCTGAGAACCCAGAGACCTTGAGTCATAGTGTTATAGGACACCCCAAATCTGCTAGAGGACAGAATCTGTTATAGGATACCCCAAATCTGTTAGCGGACAGGAGGAGAGGGACACCCCTGAAAGCCCCAAAACCTGCCTGTGCTAAGTGGGTTCTGTCATCCTCCGCAAAAAGACAAAACATATAAAACTTTAATGAAAAGGGACTTTAATACAGTAAATATACAATACGGAACACAAAGAATAGAACTTCTAAATCAAACACCCCCCTCGTGGGCAAAAGTCAACCCAAAAGGGATTGGCCCAAAGCAAAGCCTGAAAGCCTGCCACTAGACTAAAGCAGCTTCTGGCAGGGATCCATGGAAAAGGGTCAGAAATGGCCAGACAAATCTGGGAGCAAAAGAGCAAAATCAAAATCAATATAAACACTGCCATAGTCACCTCCCTACAGGTATCTCACCCACATCTGCCTTAGCCAGTCCAGGGTCAGGAAACAAGCCCGGTTTCTTCATCACATGCTTGCTGTTCCATGTGGCGTCCTTAGGTCTCCTCCTTGTTCTCCATCCAGCTTCATTCTTGTCTTCTCTCCTTTTTCTCTGCTCAGCTCCACCCTCCTTCTGGGTGGGGCAGAGAACCTGGAACTTCCCCTTTTCCTAGGGACCACCCTATTACAATAGGTCATTTCCCTATTTTTGAGTCTCCCAATTTGACTTTAGGAAGCAAATATCTTCCAAAAAATTGTGATTCCAGTAACTAGATGTTATATTACATGCATTAGATGTTTATATTAGCAAATTAATGACTTTAACACAAATAACAAAATGTAAATGCGTTGTTCATAATGTGTTCTAAGGGGTCTCAAAGTAGAGAGATTAGGTTTTCCTGGGAAGTGAGTCATCACCAACAGGAGATCAGAGACTCAAAGAGTAAGAGTTCATGGGGCAGTCCCTCAACCTCCATTATGCCACAGGAGTTTGGTCTTCTCAAGCTGGCCAGTTCTATAGCTCTCTGTTCAGGGAGCAAGGGAGAAGTCACAATGCAGGAACCAGATGATCTGCACCCCTCTGACTCCTACCTTTGAAATCTGGGAATGTGAAAGAGGAGACCAGAAAGTAGAAGAGCTGAGGGAGACAACACCCCCCCTCTTCCTGCCTAACTGGGGAGCTCTATTAGAGGATATTTCCCCCTCCCACTTCTGATGTCCTTCAGGACCGTAGAGTTTCAAAGGTCCTGGGAATAATGAAGGGCCTGGAGCCTCTGCCTTCCTATTCTTCCCTCCAAAAATAGACCTTCCTCCTGTGTGTGGGAGGATTCTAATCACTGCAGCCTTCCCTCTGCTTCCCTCTTTCCCCCACCCCTCTCCATTGGATTGCAGGCCTGGGGAAGGAAAGCTGAATTCCCGATTCACTTGTCTTTTCTTGAAACTCCTGGGACTTCCTTCCAAGCCTGCCTCGTGAGTAGTAAATCCCCAAGGAATTTTGTATCTACAGAAACAGTTTTGGGATAGCCAAGAAACTTAGGATTCTCTTTCAGTGTTGCCTTTCAGGTTAAAATAGGCCAAACTGGGGGCTGCTGAAGGAGGGAACAGGTCTGCAGAGTGGGAGCCCCAGGTGATCCAAGTGCTTCAGCACTTTTGGCTCAGGCTGCTTCCATCTGTTGCTGCTGCTGTTTGCACTGCTCACCTCAGGCATTGAGAAGTCCACTCCTTCATAGGGGCAGAGGTGAGGCTCTTTGGAGCCCTCAAGGGCTCAGGGTTCATATCTGTGAAGTTCATGAATGGTGGTCTACTGTTACTACATCAGTTACTACCTATAAGCTCCTGGAAGGGAAGAGATCAGTTTTAGTTATTTGTCCCCTGTCCTAACTGTTTGGCAAAGTGCTTGTCCACAATAGACGTTCAATAAGAACTTATAAAATCACAGGTCACCACACATAAGATTTTAAGCTTTCTCGTCTCTATCCCCAAAGTTGCATTTCAGGTTTGGATCAGAAAAGCCACACACATTCAACGCTGTGAACATTACTTGGTGCCCTATGAAAGCATCTTCCCTAGTCCCCATTGTGGCCCTCACTCTTCCTCCCTCTGGTGGTGCTTGCTCCCTCCTTTCTCTGGCTGCACAATCCATAAAGCCAATGCTGGCAGCATCCTCTCTGATTGTGTGTCTTCCCTCAAAACCCCATCCTGGGGCTGGTCACTGGAGTGGAAACTGTCCAATTGACTTAATTCTGAGTTCACTATAATGTTCCAAGGGGAGAATGGGTGTCACTTACAGTTTTTCTCTCTTGCATGACTGGGTCTGTGTCACTGATGACACTTGGCAGTGCCCCCTCCTGCCTGAAGGCAACAGTGCCAGCACCCTTATAAGAGGCAGACACTAGGCTTCTTTTCAGGAGAAACAAGCACACTGCTTGGAGAGTGACTTGGCCCAGCTGCTGGCCTCTGGGGCTGGACAGTTCAGTGCACTACCTCTGAACCTGCTTCTTGTGCTACAGGCTTCTTGCAAAGGACTAATAGCCTGGAAGAGAAGAGCCGGCTTGTGAGTGCTTTCAAGGAGAGGCAGTCTTCCAAGAACCTGCTTTCCTGTGAAAACAGTGACAGGGATGGCCGCTTCCGGAGAACAGAGACAGACTTCTCCAATCTTTTTGCTCGAGGTATATGTCCCACCCCACCCCAGGTCTCATGTTATCCAGCAGCTCTTATTTGAGTTTCTTGAGTTATTACTAAACGTTTACTTCTTTTACCAAAAATGTCTTTACCCCCTCTGAGCCACATGAAAATGTTTTTTCCAACACCTGAATATAATATACTTCCTCCTTCCCTGCTACCATTTTGGAAACTGAATGAGGGCAGTCAGTAACTTTAAAGACACTTGCAAGGACAATATAGATTCAGAGAATCTCAGAAGCTGAAAGAATCTTATATATATAGGAAATTCAGTGAGTCCCCTCCATACCATTTATCCTTGATACTGTTGACAGTAACAGACACCCCCTGATCCTCCTACCTAAATGCTGTCTCGAAACACTTTTTTTTTCCTCTAAAAAGAAAAACAATGGTAAAACACTGGCTCTTTATAAGTCTCTGCCAAGTAGTTTAAAGGTAAACCAACTACCACCCATGTTCGTGACTCCCTGTAGGCCATGAGGTCAGGCCAAAACAGTAAACAAGACTTCACTAAACCTCAGAAATCATCCAGGACATAGACAAGAGCATCATGTCTGGCCAGTCAACTCTCTGGAGTTCTGGGTGATAGCTCCAGTTGGAGCCCCATACAGCTCACCTTCCTGGTTAACCCCCTAGCCTGACTGCCTGACAGAGGCTGAGACCCACAGTCTCTGCCAGACATCACAAAGTCCAAGCCAAAAGAATCAGAGAAAGCCCTATCTTCCAGCTTCTTCAGGGTGAACCCCAGCTTCTACCCAGAGAGGCCTTTCCTTTTGCCTTGACAGATCAGATACATCATGGTACCAAGCCAAGCCTGTGAACAGAGTCTTGGTACCAGAGTGCCCAGTCAGTTTGCAAATAGACAATGGTGGTGGCATCAATATAGTTTCTAGTCATAGCTTCTCAAGGCACTCACTCCATTCACAAGTGATCAAATTATCAGAAAATCTGTCAAGTCCCAGAATGTGAGAAAACCTCTGTGTATATGCACACGTGCAACTTCCTATGCAGTTCATTGATCAGATTCCTGATGCATGTGTATACCCTGGAGTGAAATTAGGCCTTTTATAGATATCATGGCTGATAGTAGGCATTTCCTGGACTAAGGAAGTTCAGACATGAGTAAGGTGATAACTGCTTGTTGGCTGTCCCCTCTCAGATCTGCTTCCAGCTAAGAATGGGGAGGAGCAGACTGTACAGTTCTTACTGGAAGTCGTGGACATTCTCCTCAACTATGTCCGCAAGACATTCGATCGCTCCACTAAGGTGCTGGACTTCCATCACCCACACCAGCTGCTGGAAGGCATGGAGGGCTTTAACTTGGAGCTCTCTGACCACCCTGAGTCTCTGGAGCAGATCCTGGTTGACTGTAGAGACACCCTGAAGTATGGGGTCCGCACAGGTAAGGGTGAGAGCCAGGTGAACATGCAGTGCCACCAGGGAGGGCCCGGCAAAGGCAATTTTTATTGGAATCAGTAATCAGCATATCTTTCTGACACTAGTTCTATGTCACACATCCACAGATAACCTATTGCATTGGCTTCATTTTGCAGCCAAGCCAATCTCGTTGATGTGATGTTGAATTTTACTGTGAACACCAGCTTGGCAAAAACTTGACACTATCCTGAACTGATGAGAACAAAGCCTATTAAAACATATTCTGTATTTTAAATGGTTATACAATTTATACATAATAATAATAATACAGTTTATACATAATAACTTACCCAACAACTCGATGAGTGAATGGGGTTGTGTCTTCCTGTGTCACAGAAGAGATGCCCCATTATATCAGCAGAAAGTTTAGATTAGCAGTCACCTCACTACAACCACAGCTTGATGGTGTCACCCAGAGAAAGATAGCAAACTTTCAGCTTTAGAACTGGCCCTTTCCCTAGCGTGATTTAGTCTACAGTGACAAACCCTCTTTAAAGTCTGTAGCCTTTCCTCCATCAGTAAATCTTAATTTTGGAATAAGTTCATGGGATATTATGTAACAAGTTGCAAGATTTATGGAGAAAATCAGAACCACCACAACCAGATTTATAATTAAAAATAAACATAACAGAAGAGTTCATCTGGAGTCAGCAAGTAAAGTACTGGAAAAATTGTTACTTGTATGACATTGTATTTTTTTTAAATTTATTTAAATGCATGTTTTAGAAACACCTCAGTTTGGGGGGCATTATTAACACTACAGGTTGGTATCAAGACAGGTTAGCCTGTCTTTCTTTCTCTAATGTATGCAGGCAGCATTGTTAAGAGGTCACTGGGGTAGAGGAAACTTCAATGTGGCCAAAATTTTGTTTGAAGATAGCTTTTAAAATATGCATTTGCCTTGATGCTTGCCTGCTATTCATATCCCTAGGTCATCCTCGATTTTTCAATCAACTGTCCACGGGACTAGATATCATTGGGTTAGCTGGCGAATGGCTGACATCAACTGCCAATACCAACATGTAAGTCCCACATGATTGTTTTCATGTATTATGCAAACAACCATGATAAGTGGTTATGGTTTGTTGCTTCAAAAGTGCAATACCACTGGTTTTGTAATAAACATATCACAATTGGCCAGGTCATCATTTCTCTTAAAATCATTTTGGTTCTATCATAATTCTGCTTTAATTGTAGATATTTGATATGATAAACTTTATTTTAACTGAATAATGCAACTACTAAGAGCATGATCAGGATAAATTATAATTCTAGCGTTCAAAATGTAATGTGAAATTTTATTTAACAGACTTTCTTTAATGTATCTAAAGAGGTCATTTTTAGATTATAATCTTGGTTCATTTTCCCATTCACATATTATCCTTTATTATTTAGGTCAACTTTCCTTTATAATTAATGGTGCCATAAAGCCACAGTCTAATTGAATCAATTTATTGTTTAACAAAAAGTTTCAAAATAAAATTCAGCTAGTAGTCAAATGTTATTTATTTCTATCAAAAGAACTAATTGTTTTTTTCTGATTTTGACTTTTTTTTTTCCATACTTGATTAAGTAAGCAAAGCCTATTTGTTTCTAAGTTGTACATTAATATGAAAGTGACTTTAAGGTCCTGGGTTTTGGGGATGATGCTTTTGCTACCTAGGCAGTCTTTGTGTGATCACCTCATGAGTTCCTCTACATATATGTGCCTTCTTTGGAGACAAGGAGAGGATACAAGTTGAAGAAGGGTCATCCAGCCTGCTGAGAATTCTTTTCTATCAACACTATGTTTTTCTACTATCCTTATACCCAGACAATAGGCCCTCGGTCCATTGAAGTATCCAGGTGGAAATATTTAAACAAGAGTCTTACAGTGATTTAAAAATAATTACATAAGACTTACATAGTTTTATTCACTGTGAAAATACTTAAAGTAGTCATCTACTTTTTAAGTTCATGGTAACAAAGTAGATTTGAAAAACGAATTTAGCTGAAAGGGTGGTATGATTTAAAATAAGCAATTCTGTTTGGCATGAAGATAGAATATAAGTTATTAAAGTTCAAGGCATTCTATTTTTCTTAAACTGCTACCAGTCACAGAACCTGAATGGGCATTTTAAAATTATATATTGATTTGTATATGTTCCAAAACTGTTTAATGCTGTGAACTCAGAATCCTTAACTGCATTCAGAGGAGTTTCTATGAATTAAGGATTCTTGTTTGGTTTACTAATTTAAAACAACAACAACAAATTCTAAAACACAAACGTGACAAGTAGAGTATTTAATGCTAAAAGGCACTGAAGACTAAATTGATTGAAAGCAAAATGGTTTACATGTTCCCTGCTTACAAGTCATTATTAACTTCACACTGTGTCCATGCTGGCCAACTGAGACTGCAAGGAGCCTAGAAGAATTTGGGTCAAAGATACAGTTGCTTATATGGTCTCCTCAAACAAATCCCCTCCCCCAACTGCAATCTTTATTGTATTCTGATTACTAAGGTAAAAATGTATCAGCAAGTATAGGCAGCATTATGTACTAACTGTACCTTGGAAAAAAGACAATAATATTTCTCCTACTGAGGAGTAATTTTAGTTACAAAGTAAATTAAAAAAAAAACTTTGGAAAATAAATAAGAACAACAATGTAAGACTCATATCCATTAAAACCCAAATACCCACCTAATAATAGGCACCTATGATCATTAAGTGTGTAAACTTCAAAAGTTTTAATCTCCCAATATATATAACCCAATTGCAGAATAAGTAAAAGGAATTCACCCCTTTGAACCATTTATGATCAGACAGTCTCCTAAAAGGCTTTTCTTGAACAGACAGCTTTCACAAATTCATCTTTTTTTGTGTATGTTCTTAAAATCAAACCCTCTTACTTCCCTTACCCCAGCTCAGCCATGAAGCACTAAAATATATCCCAGTGTCTGAGGTCAAGGCTAGTCCAACTAAATGGCAGACAGTAATTACAGCTGTGCTGAACAGTGGATATTTATAAAATATGATCTGATTCCAACAGATCGATAGAGAAGGTTATTTAAAATAGTGAAATAGTTCCTGTCAGTTCTAGAGACGAGGCATTGTCTGAAGTAGTATTAAGTATTATCTAGAAATTTCCCTGAGTCAGTTCCCTTGGAAGATCATGAAATGTGGCCGCACAGTCAGGAGTTTATGCATAAATTTACTCCCTTGTGAAGTCCTTCTCCTCCTTGGGGCTGTTTTCAAAATAAGTCTAGGAAAGAATGGGAAAATGATCTCTTTGGTGGGGTAGGATATCTTTAGTGATAAGCTGTTATTTTCTTGAATTTAAGAGGCATTTGGTAATAAAGAATATTAACTATATTCCTCAGAAGTCTTTTAAAAATAAAAAACACTATCCAATATTGAAGTGCAAAATGTAAGGTATCTGAGTGCTAGAACACTTATGTTCATACTTTTATACCTGCCTAGGCATGCAGCCTTGTGATCTATTCTTCCAAGCAAGGACCAAGAGATAAGCCAAAGAAATTTTATAAATGTGTAGTTGTCCGTGGCACCTATTCTTTTTCCAAAACAGGTTCACTAAACACAGCTATGCAGGTCAAGGAGTGCCTATTGGGAGCCTATTCTCACACACCTGATAACAATATTGCTCTTATGGCAAGATCTCATACAGCCCTTTGCTATGAGGCTATGATTTAAAATATCTACCACTTCATTTGCATAGAAATTACAGAGGAGAAATTTTCTATGGGAGTTATTGGTCACTTTATACTATTCGGCAGGTTGATAGAGAAGAGCCTGCAGGAAGCAATTTTGTTCATCATAGAAAAGCAGCTGTGATGTGAAGAAACTGGAATCTGACTCTGTACTGACTGCACTAACTTTTTCAGGAAAATAACTAAATTTTTCTGAATCTCAGTTTCTTCTTCAGAAAATGGGGATAGTAATGCCCATCCTAGGGAGTGATTCTGAGGACTGAAAAAAAGACACTAGTCTTAAGTGCCTGTTGTATACAAGGTGCAGTGCACACACTCAGGAAATGCAGGTCATGGGTGCCATTCAGGGCCCCTCTCTCCACCTTCCTGGCTCTTCTGTTTCTGTCTTTCATCATCTTTGGACCCCAGAGTGGTTCACTAAGCTGGCCTCACGTGCATTATCTTTTAAAGTGAAGATGTATCACATGCCATGTCTGTAAGGAGAGGAAACCTAAGTGTCAAGAGAGTCAACATCGATTATTTTTCTCACTAAAGAAGTCCCCAGTTTGTCAGTCACCCAAGATCCAGGTTCCTTGCTCCTTTCCAATCCTTGTTGCAGTGCCCAGCTCTCATCCTCAAAGTCCTCTCACAGGAGTGGCTGGCTACTAGAGCTCCAGCCAACACTTCTGCATTCCAGAACTCAGGAAGGAGTAAGCAAAGGGAAGAGAGAGGGAGGGAGGGAGGAAGGAAGGTAGAAAAAGGAAAGACAGGAGGGAGGGAAGAATGAAGAACCAGAGGAAGGGCAAAGGGGGATACTTTCTTTCCTTCTAAGAAATCTCAGAAGCTTTACCTGACATTCTCCATAACATCCCTATAGCCAAACTTTGTCCCTGGCCTCACCTGGAGAAGTTAGAAACTGTAGTCTTTCGTATGGGTGAATTGCAACTCCAAATAAAATGAATGAAACAAGGGAAAAAGTGATTGGTTAGCAGCTAGGAGACTCTGTCACAAGAGAACTACAGCTTCTTATCAATTTGTCTTAGTTCAGACTAAATCCCACTGAGAAGATGAATTGAACCACTGAAAAGAGCTGACTCAATATTCTACTCAGAATATAGAAAGTCTCAGTTTTCCTCTTTAGTGTCACCATGAACATTGCATCCTACTTTTAATGTTTGTAATCTCTGCTCTTGTTTTTCAGTCCAGAGTTTTATACAGGTTTAGTTTTTTGTTCTCTGATTCAGAAATTTAATCTTGCTTTCTAATTTTAGCACCTAGCCAGATCCTACTGAATCCATATTTGGCTTCTGATCTCTTGACTGTTTTATCAGCTTCCATCTGTCATGTGGGGAATGTGTACCTAACCTGATTGCAATAGGTGAACCTTCTGTAGTTATATACAAAATGATGTTCATGTCTTCATTTTTCTCTTGGAGAGAATGACCTAGCTTCCTAGGATTCCCAAAAGAGTCTATAGTCCCAATTAAGTTAAAAACCATCACTCTAGGGTGAAATCAAGGCCTTTGATAGGTCCTGGGTGCTGGCTAATTCCCAGTTATAAACATGGTCAAGGATCAGAAGAGGTGTCAGAGATCCCATGTTAGTGCACTTGTCAAGCCTGGCTGATGATTAACAGCCCTGACCAATCCAATAGCTTCCAGGAAAAGATGTTAGGTCTAAGATCCTGTCATGATAAACGCAGTGTTCATTGTAGGATGAGTGGTCCTTCAGATCTAGGCTGGGACTGTCAAACAGGATGCAGCTAAGGCCAAGGACCAAATAGTAGATTCAGGCTAGTAAGCTTCATCCCCAAAATTAGAAAGGATGCCTTATAACACCATTGTCTCCTCAGTATGTAAGAAGGCAACTGACAGATAATGTCCTTTGATAACAATATTTACTGAATGGAACTAAAAGAAAGGTTTAGGAATTAGATATCTGGCACAGATGAGAAATTTGAAATTATTGTGATCAGATGGTCAAACTCTCTAGAATCTTCCCCCAATCCTTCGATTCATGCTATGTTTCTGGTCCATTGGTAGGAGGATTAATTCGTACAAAGCCAGGCCCTACATTGATTAAAATCATGCAATGAACCATTCCCCTGGCCTTCATTTCCACCCTTCCCCCCTTCCCCCATGTGGTTCCTACCTGGTTATCTAACACTGACTTAATTCCAACTCAGCTATCAACCAGTCCTTGATAATGTTCCCACTTTATGGTGTATGACTCCATTTGTCCCTTGCTTTACTCCCAGAGACTTCTCATTTGCTGTAATAAGATTCCAACACAAAAACTGCTACCAGTGTCTCTTCACCATGCAAATATTTTTGCCATTCCAATGTTTCCAAAAATCATTGGCACACATGTTCAGATTTTGTCCTCCCGAAGTCATATAACACAAGTGTTGAAGAACGGATAGAAGCACATCATGAGTTTGCCTCTTGGTACGCTCAGCAGCCCAGGCTAAACCAGGAACCCTTCTCTTCTTCTTCCTTTATCAGGCCATCAGACATGAGGGAGTGTTGGTTGCTTCGGTGATGGGGCTCAGAGCAGAACCAAAGCATGATTGTGACCTCCAGAGGTGATGGTAACTGAATACATGGTTTCCAAGGGTCTTCTTCCTACATCTTAAGGGTCCTTCCCAAAAAAAGAGGACATATTCTTTTTTGGAAACAAAATCCATCTACTAACAAATATGTCCTGATGATCTTCCAGGATATTTTTGTCCTCTTCTACAACCATATTAATTTGATTGCTTTTTTTCTTCACGATGGAAGTTATAGTGACTTCACCTGTGTCTTATGTATTATTATTTCATCCTTGCAAATAACTTTTCTAAATCATTAAGCCTACAAGAGTTACCACTAGTCTTCAGCATCGACATTCATCCCAAACACCTAATCAATGATGAAGTTTCCCTATATCACTCTGATGAGTCAATCTAGGCTTCTCTCTTTTGTGAGCATGGTCTGAGCTGAGCCCACAGACTAATGCTTGAAGACCAAGCAAAAAGAAGAAAGAAAAGGAGTTTCAGAGTCAGTAAATACCTTTTTGTTTTCTGGCTTGGTTTTCTGTGGATGGACCATCTTTGGTTTCTCTTAAGCCCTATGCCTAGTACCATGGTCTTGTTTCGATGACTAGTCCACTAGACTGTGCCTCTGTTTTGAATTGCTTTGAGAAGAGCATGACTTGTTATTTTCATATCAGCTTGCTAGAAGTCAAGCTAACCTGCTAGGATATCTGATGCCCACAGTTAGCTGTGTGTGTCAGTTGACCATCTTCTTGTTATTTATAATTGGTAATTAGAAAAATCATCACTTTTAATTATTCTTGACAGATATCGATGTTAGAGAATTATAGAACCATGGCTGTCCTTGGGGATTATCAGCAGAAAAACCATGTAGAGATAATTATATTGAGATCTTTAAAACCTAGGTCAATATTTCCAATTATCTTCACAGTTAGCTTTTAGATGTTTACATTGTTTTCAAGACATACACTGGCTCTGGGTTTTATAGATTCCACAAGTATAAAATTAGTAATCAGGGTTTTTTTTTAAATGTTGCAAACCAGTTTTATATAGAACTTAGAATGCTTTTTTTTTTTTTGCAATTAATATTTGTGTCATCCTACAATCGTAGAGGTGAATTTTATTTTCTTTCCTTCTTTTTCTCTTGGTGGACCACACCTAAGGCATTCCATTCAGATGAGAATCTATATGTTTATGAGAAATCACAGAGCAGGCACTTCCCCACCACCTCTCTGCAAAATACAGGCTGGTTTATACATTTTATTATTGGTAACTTAATACATTTCCAGGAATTGAATTGTTTTAGTTGTTTTGAGCATCTGTGTTCCCCCAAGTAATTGGATTGGCTTCTCTATTTT